CACTTTTCGCACCGATGTCATCAGGATAGTTCCGAAAAGCAACAACGGAATTTAAGGTAGACTATTTTTGCCACAAATACACATTAGGAAATTAGGGACATCTACGTTCATGGATGATCTGTTCTGATATTTTCAATCGGGTACGCCTGTGTCGCTTGATATTCTTACACCAAGTCAAGTGCATAAAAAAGATAGCTTTAATGCGATACAGGCCGATCGTTTTCCTTTTCCTTTTTTTCACGCTCGTTCGTTCGTGAAGAATCGGATGACGTGAATAAAACGGCGTATCGACAAAGCACGAATCTGAAGAATGGAAGAAGGAATGCAAGGAGAGCTTCGTTTTTTTTTGTTTTTTTTTGTTTTTGTTTTTTTTTTGTTAACCAGTCTTCGAATCGAAAGTCTCACCGTGAAAAATTCACCGTGAAAAAGTCGAAAGTTCGTTTAAGCATTACGCAATTAGAAACTACACTCGTTCTCTACGAAAACGTGAATAATCCGTGAAAAATCATTTGGTTATTCTCAGAGGAGTCAGTGAACATCGAACCTTTCTCTACACCTTCGCTTCAACACACACTTCCAGATAATCGCTCGATTCTTCTATTTTCTTTTCTTTTTTTTTTTTTCATTTGGTATAATTAAAAACCAAAAGGAGAGATTCTCGACCTACATCGAACAAATGAAACGGTATATTTTCCTCGAAAATTATATATACTGTATTGTCGATGCAAGAGTGAGGAGAATTTTTCATCGTTTTGAACAGTGAAAACCCCACGCTTAAGAAGACACATCTTTTTATCAACGCTTTCTTACTTTCCGAAATTCCTCATATCGTTTGTATTAATATTTCTAACGAGAGTTGAACATCGATTTGAGAGAGAACCTTTCTTCTCGTCGTTCACTCGTACGTTTTTCTAGGCAAGAGAGAAAAAGAATGTCCAGACTTCGATTTAAAAATTGACAGAACGTTTTCTTTTTATTGAATATCCATATGGTTTATTAAATATTGTTATCGATCGGATGAAAAATATTTTTGTTCGATACTCAGTGCTTTATTTCGTTACGAAAATTCCCGTTACTTTTGCATCTACTTAAGGTCATCGTTTGTTTAACAGATGAGAAAAATTCGCATCGTTTTACGGTAATTAATATAAACCATTAAATGTAATCCGCTTTTCAATCCATCGTATTACATCAGTATTTTCTTATCTCTTTATTCTTATCTTTTTTTTTTCATTTTTCTTCTTTTTTTAGAACGTCGAATGAATAAAAAAAAAAAAAATAATAATTATAAGAAGAAAAAACGTAAGAACGTTTTGAATTTTTAAAAACGGTACTACTAACGATATTTGTAGCAAAAATATACAGGCCACGTGGCTGCTTACAATATACGCTTCGCAAATTCTTAAAAAGGAAAGAAAACTTAACAGACGCGATAGAAATGAAAGTTTCTTCGTTTTTTTTTTCTTCTTCTTCTTTCTTTCGTTTGACAAAGAACATAACGGTTAACGACGTCAAAAAAACAACCAGCACTCAATGTCAGTCAGGCGCGGCTGTACAAATCATTGATGCCCACTGACAATGAGCTCATTGATTGTACACCTATACTTAAGAATCTAGATTTTTATTACGATACTGCTCGCACGAATTTCACAAACGATTTGTTTGCTTTTTTTTCTTTTTCCTTTAATTACACCACGAAAAAGAAACTATTGACCCATACTACTCCGCTGGATTATTCCAATAATTATTATTTACGGATGCATTGTCGTACATGCGTTATTGCCAATAACATATGTACCGCTTCATCTTCGTACCGTTGCTTCCATGTGGACAACCTTACAGAGATACTTAGAGATACATACTTCTCGTACAATTCGGTGTGTCGAAAAAATTAGTTACAATATTAAATACACGTACGATGATAGATACATCTTCGTTGAAATTCTTATACGAATTCGATTTGTTCGAATTTCCGAATTGAAGACATAACAGTGCAGTGATCGGGCGAAATGTCCTCGTCATTCGAACATCGTGTTCGTCGACTGATTGATAAAAATTTGTATATATATGTACAACGTACGAAGATGAAACACAAGGAACGGAATATGTATATTTATATACACGAATCGGAGCATGTGTTATGGATGCATAATATGCATTCACGTACGTGTGTTTGTTTGTTGTTTGTTTGTGGCGTGTGTATATGTAGAATATGAGATGTATCTCTGTGTGTATATGTGTAATGTTTATTCATATGTTCTTCGTATGTACGTATGTATGTACGAAACATGTCGCATAAACGTTCTGGGAGTGGAATCAAGATATATCGAGTATATGAAAGCAATCGTTTTTAAAAATGTAGAAATTCGCTTGTTAATAAACGTATACGCAATAGTTTGGCCATCGATCTTGCCATACAGTCACGGTAGATTTATCAACTACTATTCGTAACTAGTGATAAAGTCGTCGTGAAAAAGAACGGAAGTCCGCAATTTTTTTCTTTTTGTTTATAAACACAGGGGAACGAGACTCGTTCGGTAGAAGAAAATTGTTTCACGAAGAAAGACGCACGAGGACAGCATAGTCTCGTAAATTTCAAATACATGTGCAATAATACATATGTATATAATTTTTCTTTTAAGAAGCGGTAATTCGTTTTCGCGATCCTAATGGTGCCATTAATGTATGCGTGTCCGTCTTAATATGCCTTATCGTTTCTTTTTTTTTTTTTAAACTGACCAGTGTAAACTCTACTGTGGCACAAAGAAATTTCGACAATTACTCGCGCAATTTCACATTCGATACGTCATGTAAATAGAGCATCGAAAAACTATATATGTATATAGAGTACCACTAAAGGTTCGCTTGAGCGTACGCCCAACATACAGACCAAACTTTCATATCAATCTCAAGCACAACAAACGCTTTGCAGACGATATAACAAAAGTGGGCCGTTATTAAACGAGTCACACAACCAAATCCTAATCCTTCACTGTTCGCATATTTTTACTGTTCGATTTAATAAAAGGAAGAAGAAAAGAAAAGAAAGAAAGAAGGAGAGAAAAAAATGAAGTTCAAAGAGCATTCAGTTTTAGACATCGGCACATGAACATGTATATGTACATCTATACAACCCTTAACTATTTTAGTCAGTTACATTACGGAAATACATACTACCTAGTATTGCTATACGATACGATTTCTTTATTTATAAAAATGTTCGAAAATTTAAGCGTAAACTGTAATAACTGTTATTTAGAATGCAATTTTAGATAAATGTTCTATTATAAATTTTAATTGAGGATTAAATACAAATAATAATTAAGAAATAAGTAAGTATTAAAAATATATACATACACCTAACGTTTCAATACTTAGCCATGCAAAATTAACTAATGAACAAATATAAAAAATATTATTTGTTACACGAAATATTTACGATTTTATTAATCAGATAAAGGAAATCAGTACTGTATAAAATACTCTCAATTGTTATGTAGTATGCAGAATTTAAAAAAAAATTATAATCAATACTATATAACCTACAGCCTCATCGTATGCAAATGCAATATTAATTTTCTTAAGTTCATGCGTTATATCAACGTACCGCTCTACAGGTAATGATTTAGTTGTGTACTCGTTCACGTGATTGAATTATGTTCATCAATGAATGAAAGCATCGAATAAATACAAAAGGTAATAGCAAAACTCGCCTTACCCCCAGAAACATCACTATTCTCACATAGATTCATTTTACTGCTTACTTTCAACAACTGTATATACCCAAACAACTTACTTATGAATTGCACAATGAATGAAAGAATTAAAATACAATAAGATAGAATGGAACGAATGAAAGCTCACAATGATAAAAAACACTTAGAAAAATTCTCAATATAACTATCTAAGTTGCTAACTGTCGTGTTCCCTCTGTTAAAAGACAGGAAGCACAGATTGCGCAAACGCATTTCACAGAATGTTTACACTGTTTCGTACGTACGTACAACATGTGTACTCACAAAAAGAACTAAGATTAATGTTATTTGGAATAATTATGATTCTTAGTAATTCCGAACGTAAGAATCAATTCCAGATAAAAATGATTATATCTCACATTCACAAATGCGATTGGCGATCTAATCACTAATTACTGAAAAATCTATGCATACAGAATCAAACACTTCACTGTTTGCGCGGCAGCCTTCTCAGCCATCAAAGGAATTACGCGTTAGATTAATTCAGTATCTTAAGTTACCTAGTTAATGTTGTGTTTTGTGTATCAAATCATTATCGTAACAATTATTTGTTGGGCACACACCGAATTAAAGTCTCAGCTGTAAGCACGCGTCAAACTTTTCTTTCTCCATGATTCATGTTCATTAGCCATCCTCTTTTGGAGGGGTAAACCAACCTATAAGAATATTTAAATACATAATACCATCTATGTTAATGTTTTGAAAACAACACGTTCGGTGCTGCTCTGTACACTGAATTCTACATTGAAAGAAATAGAAAAGCATATATCAAATGTATCAATACAAAAGTTTGCTTATTTAGCAAAATCACATTAGATTATACTAATTTTAACATTAGGAAAGCAAGTACTCATGTAATGCAAGATTATTGACATCACAAAAAAAGAAATGGATTACCCTCTCCTAGATTATTTTAAATATTACCAAAGAAAGAGACAATAAAAAATATATGTATTACATTTATAACAAAAACTTAACTATTCAAATACTGATTAGCTTGAATAAATAATTCAATATATACTACGCATTATTTAAGCAATAACAAAACCGTTAAATATATTCATTGCTTTCTCATCAAACAGTCTTCCTGTTGGAAAAGCTTGACAATTTTATTTCTATAAAATGAGAAATAAAATTAACGTCTTACCATTCTTTTCATGTATTTGTACAAGAGACTTGAATGACTGTTGTGCACGTGCTAGACTGTATTGACCTTGTCCACACACTTTGCTAGCACTACCTGGTCCTGGAAATTGAATGCGTGCTTTTCCCTTCACTAATGTTGCTGAAATCTGCATGATGACTGCTTCCACTGTGTATGCTGAACTCCAACCTTGTTTTGTTAAGAGTTCCATGCAAATAGCGCCTCCTATAAGAACGTATCCACCAGAGATCATGGGATGCACAACTCTGACAAATGGGGGTTCGAATGGGTAAGTTTCCTGCAACAAGAAAAATAGAAGATTTTTTTCTATTCTACACAATTAACATGTTAAATGATATCTACATCATGCAAATTGACAAAACTTTCAAAGTATTTACCAAACTACATTGATATCATATGTAATTAAAACATCAAGATATAATAAACAGATTCCTAAAAGTGATGATGTATTACTTATATCTAAAACACAACTAAAATCAATGATTTTGATTTACATAAAATTTATACAACAGAAACAGTTACAAACTGAAAACGTACCTTAAAAAGCATGTTAAGGAGAATACTGTCTTTGCCTTCTTTTTCTTTCAGAAGTATGAGATCACTGTGTAAAGGTGAATCAGGATCAACACACATCAGCCTGACATTCCATTCATACAAACTGTCATTTACTAATTCTATGCTGTACATTCCTGCAACAAGATTAAGCAAATATTTGGATATGTCGACTAATTTGAATTATAGTTCAGTCTATAAGATATTTTAATAGAAATGCAAATTTGAAAAGAAGAAGTAAAAGGTAGCAGTACCTTTTTTGAAACTGTCACTTCGGTAAATGTCTCTCAATTCTTTCATGAGTCTGTCTGTGGCTTGCACACTGCCACAGACAGATCCTTTTAAGTAATCTTGTCTTTGATTTTGTCTCAACCTTTCTAGTGTTGCAAGATGTTCCAGTTCTATTTCCTCACCCTTAAAAATAAATTTGATATTAATGCAAATTAATACTAATATAAATAGCAATATAAACATGATCTAAATACTAGCATAATTCTTATATTTATTATGCTGCCCAATTTACCTTACTCTTAGCATTGGCATCTCCTTCATCCATATCTAAGTGAAGGTCTTCCTCTGCATCACTTTCTTCATCCTCATCAATATCTTCAGCATCTTCTGCTTCCATCCTTTGTGCTGCAGCTTCATTTGTTCCTCCTAAACGCAATGGATCCAAAGCTGTCCTTAACCTTTCAACGTCAGGTGGTTCCGGTAATGAGTGGAGTCTACATAATTCTTTCAAGAGAATCCCAACTTGATTAATGACATGGTTGTCACGGCCTGTGGTAGTACTTAAAATTTGTACCGCATTTGTAACACTTGTCTCCTCTGATTCTGCAAACCATACTGGTGGTGTAGAGGGATAGGTTTCCTGTGACATTCATTAAAATATATATAATCATTTTATAGAACACAGCAAAAACAATGAATTCTAGTAACTAATCAATTTTACAACCATCTTTTATCACATAAGAAACCACTGATTCCTTATTTGTTTATATGAAACAACATAGAATAACATTTACATAACATACTTCCACAAGTTTTGAACAATATTTTGAAATTAAATATTTTTAAAATTACTATCATTTATTGCAGCTAATAATAATATTTAATCATACATGTGAAGATTTATTATTGTATCTAAAGTATGTTAAAAATACTATTTGAACAAATATACAAAACCCCTATATCCTGCAATAAAATTCATGTATTATTTCAAACAGAAGTAGTTCAATGACTGAAGCTTTATTTATAAATGTGAAATAATCATATATCAACATCTGTTCAAGTGTATAATAAATTTTCTAAATACGAAATTAAACATTTCTAAAAAAGATAACTATTTTCAAGTATAAAAGATTCATATAACATCTTCTCATAAACTAAAAATTATATTTCATAGTTCCTTTAAAAATTAATTTATAATATTGATTACTATATTTCGTATTTAAAACAAAATGTTTTGACGTAACAGTCCATAAAATAAACAAAATATTGTAAACATTAAAAGTACCTATTTCAAAAATCATAGTTACGAAAATAATTACGATAAAAATAAATTGATGATTCATATAGTAAAAAGTTGTATTAAACGACAACTATGATGTTTACTACTAAAATGTTTATCATAAACGCATACGCGATATTTAAATATGGATTTATCGGCAATTGCAGTTAGCTCAGCGTCGGTGCCACGTCCATACATATGCGTAACACAAATCATAAATTAATTAGCAATACCGAACCATAGTGGCATTAAAAGGTACAAACGAACAAAAATTGTCCATTTCTAATTCTAACAAACAAATAAACAAAATAGAAATAATAGCGCATTTCATTGATGTTACTGAGTTCAATTTTTACGCTAAGCTTTCATCTTGATATGTATATGCAAAATAATTTATTGCAGTGAAACTGTAATTAAAATACCACATCAATATATTTCTGATCATTTTATTTAATTTATTTTATATCATTATGTCCTATTCATAACTGACTTTTTGCACAAAAAGAATAAGAAAATAGATTTGGATTTGCATTTGAACCTGCACAGTTTACCTGACAAAGTAAACAAAAGAAACAACGCAATTTTCGTATACACAACCTGATAATAAACTTTCAGCATGGACTTTTAATATCTTAAATTATCCACTGTGGATTAACAAACTTGTTTCTAAAGAATACGGAAACATATACGATGAAAAATGAATAGTTATTTTTATTATTCGAATATCGAATAGTTTCAAAGTATTGAACAAAAAAAAGTGAAGATAATTTCACAACGAAGAGAACGGTAATGGAAACGGTAAGAATAACGCAAATGGATATGCTCATTGTTATTTAGTTTATCTATAAATATTATCTGGTGTACACGAAATTAGTAAGTAGTTTGGTTTCGCGCAGATGTGATATAACTGTCTGTACGGTAGCGACTGTAAACGAAGAATTTTTTTCCACAAGTACAAATGGACAGAACAGACAACTATTATGAGGGGCTTACCCTCTATTTGTGACATACATTGACCTCTACCGCAATATTAATTCGTCTAAAAATCTCCACGGAAACTGGCCGATTGAGGCGAGAAAGGATCGATCGTAACTACAACAAAATGTACAGAACAACAAGAAACGATAGATAGAAAAAAACGTGCATAAGATACACAGTATACGTGCTCCCGGGCATGGCTCTTGTCAAAAGCCCCAAATAACAACATGAGTGTTATTGTTTCTTTGTCCGATCGGTCGCAGACAGCAATGAATGTTAATACGGTCCCATATGAATAGAAATATACTGTCGTAGGTCCCGAACTGACTTACTGTTTCAAATTGTATCCATGCTTGTTACACTTACTGTAATATTGGCGTGTATTTCGTATTTCTTCCCATTTTTACCGACGAACCTGCAGCTGAGTTCGTCCACACTCGCAGACATTATCTGAAATCTCTCATGGCTCTTAGGGAAGACGGACTCAAGAGTTTTAATCTCCTGCTTAAGGGTGTTCAAACAAGCCATTTGGGGGAGCGAACGAAGGTGCCGGACCCCAAATTTTTCGGCGGTGCTTGTTCCAAAAAGTACAGCAACCCGAAAGAAACACGACGTACCCGATGACTACCCGACAAAATGGCGACCGCGACTGACTACTTCGGCCAGTCTCGTGCAATTTCGTTTTCTCCCGTCACAGATGCCAGCACTGAACCATTCAAATGCCCGTGACGTCCTTCCGGGACAGCTGACAATAAATGCAATTGAACGTGTTGCGGCATTTAAAGAAAATCCCTTGGAAAATTGTTATTCTTTCCAATGTCAAATTTCTAAATTATAGAAAATTTAACTTCGTATATTATTCTCAAATTCATATATCTTATGTTGTACACGTTTTTTTAAAAATGTTTAAACATTTGTACTAATATGTTTTGTATTCATTTTTTAACTAGTGCCGTAAAAACAGAATCAACATTCGTTATATTTAAAATATAAATGCAACAGCAGAGAATAATGAATTCTTAAACATCTCATTACTTATGATGTACCGCAACTTTTGAAAGCAATGACGTAATTTGAACTGAAAAAGAACCGTTAAGAGTACGTCGCTTGTTAGCTAATATCTTGAGCTTATAACTTGAAAAAATAAATGTCGAACATGACTTATATTTTTGTTACATATATTATATTTGTATTAGATAAATTATTATGTCTATAGCGATATATTTTTAATATTCGCAACTTTTTTATTAATAAAAGCTAATGTAAAGTAATCAACACTTGTTTATTGTATCATGAATTTATTTGAAATGTCTAGTATTTCTAGTTCTTATGATCTATATGTACAGATGATAGTGTGATAAAGTATAATACACGCATTATTTTAACATGTGTTAACAAATAAATGCTCTAATCTAACATACTAAAAATAATTAAGTTCTAATTTTTGGACTGGGCCCACAAATTTCTGTATTTTCTTCTTTTTTTTCTGTTTTAAAATACAGTACATGCAATACACTATTCTACTTGCCCCTTTTGACGTCAGGAAACAATTAATAATGTACACATACTGAAATTTTTACTAAAATAATTCAAGAAATTCTTCAAACTTGGGTACTTATTGATGAATTCCTATTCGTGTGCCCTCCAGTAGTATACATTTTTCGTAGTATTTTGCTTATATTTTTCGTGTAATTATTCGTACATACATAAGAAACTGCATTTACCTATTTATAACAACGTATGTGCAATGCAATGCAAAAATAACGTCAACGAAATTAACATTATAAATATTTTACTTTGTTTATAAAATAAAATAAAATATCTATATGTTACATGCGCCTAAAATTAAAGCTACTTAAACGATAATTATCGCGTTGGTGATTTTTTCTCTAACATTCTTTACGAAAATACAAAAATTAAAATCTGGCACATTATAAAATGTAAACGATAAATATTATTTTACATATTATTGCACAGACCATTTTTATTGAATACTTTTCGTCCATGAATTTCTTGTGTTATTTTTTCTTTTTCTTGTTTTATCAACATTAGAAAAGGGTAGACACCAGTCCGTGGTTATAGTCTTTTCAATGGCAATAGAATCTTTGAAGTCATGAAATGACTAAATGTAATTTATAAATAACAAAATATACCATTTCCACCGTAACAGGATGCCTAAGCCTTTCTCTTATATGGAAAAGTCATGATGGTCAACATTAATTTATCACTAGCATTATTTTCATACATATACGTATATATATATACATATCGTTTTTTTCATATCCATACTTAGTTTTTTTTAATGTATTAGTAATAGCAAATGTGAAAGTTAATCAGTCAGTAATACTAATTTAAGCCTCTTTTTTGAGAACAGGACCAGTTGAGAATGTGTATTTATACGCTTTAACATAAGCGTATAATTTCATTCTTCTTAATTACATACCTTACTACTTTTCATTTAAACGGATTGAAAACATTTATAAATATTTTCTTAATATTTGTCAGCTGTTACATCTTTCTTTTATACAAGTAAAAGTGTGTCACAGTAACATTTGATATTAACAAACTCATGAGATATGTTCATTCTTAACAAATAATTAATAAATATGAAATCCAAGATTTAATAAAAAAGAATAAGGTAATTTATGATTCGAAAGAAACGATATCTCAAACTTGAATTTTCTACACAATAAAATGAAATTTACTAAAAACATATGATTTTATTACAAAAATAACAAAAAACTACTTGGAACTTTTGCATAGCTTCTTAAATTATCGTTTTCATTTATAAATAATTATAAAAGCCTACATAAACAATGGTGGTACATATCTCATTGACTGTTAATATGTGTCATATTTTTAACAGTATCCTAAACTGCATTTTTTATTGACTTAGATAGTTACACACACTGACAATGTCTGAACATAATTACTTGCATCACTGTATACGGTGTTTTTAATAAGTCAATTTTAGAAAATAGAGTTTTCCAACATTGAAAACTTAGAATATTTTACCCAATAAGTCTTGCTAAACTCGCGTCATAATTTATATTAAACCATTGTTGTGAATTAGTAACATTTTTAAATTATTTTTCAGCAGTTATCAGAATACATATTAGTAATAGCTAGGAACTTGAAGAAGCATTACCTCCATCTCTTTAAATATACAAATGCCAAATTTTTTTGATATCTGTTCAACGTGCGATGTAGGTAAATCTTAAACAACACACCTACAGCACTGCATGTTCATTAATGAATTACGCAGCAACACTTTCTTTCTCCGAATCACATTAAGATTAGAACTTTCATTTTATTTACAAAGAAATACTATATGTAAGATACTCTGCAGCAGAGGTAGAAAGATGAAATGAAATAAAAAAAATGAGGAATGGTCTTGATAGTCACGATATTTATAGTTTTTACTTGCAGTTCGTTCAACAATCTTCAGTTGTAACGAAACCTTAAAGAAAAGTGTTAATAATCTTAATATATAAAAGCATATCTAAACTGCCAACTGTGTAACACTAGTTTTATACATCTCAGTTTTATTTACAAGCATACTCTCGTCGATAGATACATTTTGGAGAAAGAAGTAGCTCACAGTATGTCACAGATTCCTTGTATATGAAAGGTAATCTTTAGTTGTGTGCATTCTCTCTGGCACATGACGTCAATATAGATTTATCTGTTTTGCGTTGTTCTCAGTGCATATAATGATGCTGATTTGTTACACGTAAGTCAAAGTAGTCGGCTTTTTTAAAATGCCGAATGGTAATAATCATAAGTAGGCCAGTAAGGCTGTAGCCAGTCCTAGCTGGTGCGTTGACGCTTTTTGACAGGGTGTTCCTCAGAGGAATGTGCAGGTGCAGGCATCACCATCTCACCTCTATTAAACATGTATTTCAATTGGGGCATGTATTTCATTATACTTTTTACTTGTATTAATGGTAGCTCTTCATTTAAAGATGAACACTTTCCTGCTTCCATTAACATCTTCATTTGTAACCTTCAAAGGAAATTATGTTGAATTTAAAATCGTGCATATTATTTATACATTAATAAAAAGAAATGTATTTATAAAATTTGTTGTGTTCTGTAAACGCATATGTAATAAAATAATATTTTCTTACCTATTTCCTTGATACAAGTCTATGTGTAAGACATCTGTAAGGACTTGCCGACAGCTACTGATGTCACAGGCAGGAAAATACTGAGCGACGAAATCAGGAAGTGTCATCAATAATTCAGAATATATATATGGCTTGAAATTAATACAGGGTACCATTTTATCTTCAACAAGTGCTTTTTGAATTTGATAAGGTTGAACTTGACAGGTTGATATATGTGTTTCTGCTATTGGGATCAAAGGCTTTCTGCCTCTTGAATCCCTGAAAGCAAGTATTTCAATGTAATAATGATGAAACTATAGTTTACTTCCCCTATGGTATGACTTCTTATTGCCATAAGTTTCAAGAAGCAAAGTAAATGCTGTCATACCTGGAACTATTATTACTGCCATTAACTGGTATTAATGGTGGTGGGTATTTTGCATGAGATGTGTTATGTACGGATGGTGTATGCCTTTGTTGATGCAACAATACCGAAGAAGGTGATGGCATTAGAGCTTGTACTTGTTCACTTAAACCAAGCATTTGAGAGTATGTACTTGCCGTAACTGCATTAGGTACACCTAAAGTAGGTGTAGTATATGTTGATGTAACCCTAAAATAGAGAAATTTTGTTAAATTTTTTTTATATATACAAATATATATATGTATATTCAAC